ACCGCGAGGACCGCGCAGACTCTTGTGGCTTGTCGTGGTGACGATATCGGCGAAGCTGAAGGGGCCGGGGATGACCTTGGCGGCGACGAGACCGGAGATGTGTGCCATGTCGGCGAGAAGATAGGCGTTTATCTTTTCGCATGTCTTCTTGATTTGTGCGTAGTCGATGAAGCGGCCGTAGGCGCTGGCGCCTGCTACGATGATCTTGGGCCTATAGAGAAGGGCTGTCCTTTCGAGTTCTTCGTAATCTATCGTGCCGGTCTCCTCGTTTAATCTGTAGGGAAGGGTCTCGAAATATTTGGAAACGGCCGAAATCTTCTTGGTTGGCGTTTGGTATCCGTGTGACAGATGGCCGCCGTGGGGAAGATCGAGGCCCATCAAGCGGTCGTGGGTGTTCATGAGGGCGGAGTATACATAGAGATTGGCTGGAGCACCGGAAAGAGCTGTTGGAACCCAAAAGTTAGCAATTGGTTGTACTTAAGGCTGTCTTCAAGACTCTTGATAGCCTGAGTCGCTTGAAGGTTTCCTCACACTGGACGTTGACACCCCATTCCTTCTCGTCCAAGCCAAACGTCTCGAGGGCTCTCTGCTGGCATAGTCGTTCGGATTGATCGATGAATTCGTTGCCTGCATAGTATCGTGCGCCGGGATAGCCCTCCGAATACTTGTCTAGGGGTCGTATTAGCAACACAAGTGACAGTAGAGCGAGCGAAGGCAGTCTTCTGCGTACTCTGCATAGGACTCCCTAGCGCATCCAGCACAGCCTGCGATGTGAAGTTCTCGGAGGGGATTAAGTTAATAAAGTGCTTCTGTCGTTTTTTCTCCTGCAAAGCAACCATCAGTCTCCAATCGCGCAAACACTAATTTCCTACAACATTGCAGCTCATGACGTACGTTTTCGATGATGTCGTAAACAGTTGGATCAGCTTGTTGGAGGTGGGCAGACAGCAACTGAACAGATGTTAGCAATCAATTGTAAGGTATAGAGGTAGGCCGGCGAACATACTTGCTGCTGTCCATCCACAGCCGTAGACTGAGCCCTTCTTGCGCCATACTGTATCGACTGAAACCTAGGAAGCGATCGGATGGCGCGCGAGGCACCGCGAAAGGCGGGAAGAGAGGACATGGCGGGCGGATAGTCACACAAACTCGACTGTCTTTGTGAGGTGCAATTGGGACAAACGACAGACTACAATTGCTCGAGACTTAGAGCTATTCCCAGACTCTCACAACAGCTGTCGAAGGATGAAAGGCACAAGGCGGATCGCTGTGCGAGGTCGGCGTGGCATGGGAGCTTTGGCCCGATAGCAACCTTCGGTCAAGCTCCCCGGAGTATGTTGCTATCTCTCGCTGTATGCCCCACGCCTAAGCGCTAATCATGTCACCAATGTTCACAATCTGGCTGCCTTACTATTACTGCTTCACTGGTTTATTCGTAAGGTCTACTGTGCCACATTACCATGCAATTGTATTTGTTATCATTTGTTGATGATTGTGATATACCTGAATTCAAAAACTAGTAATATTCCATGCAGAGCAATGCCTCGAGTGAGAAAGTAGCCATCATAGTAGGTAAATCCAATTGAAAGCAATCAAGGGGACAGCATGCTTGGCGACGGCAAAGGTCGGCAGAACTGGCCGAGGCCGTACTTTCTCTCCATTTTCCCGCATCCTAACACAGCCTACCCTATACTCACATAACCTCGAGGAAAGTCACGTGGTGTAGCCCCACCAGCTTGCCACGCAGCAAAAATCTCCCAAGCACGGCGTACACATTCTCCCTTTCCTCTTTCTTCCGTATCAACTAAATTGGATGTGACGAGTCCGCTTCGAGTAGTTTCCGCCTCACGGCGGGAGCCATGCTCTACATGTCTCCGGCGGCACCTCACCACCTTATAGGGGACAATGTGAAGATATCTGATCCAACAAGGTTGATCTGTGTTACGCTGTTTATTTACCCTCTCTTCTTGCCCGTATGTAGACTTGTAGAGCACACGGAAATCAACGACGCGAGGACCAGATTCACTTGACTCGTGTCGGGAAGAGAAATAGTCGGCAAGTGTCGATGGCTTTTGCCTTTGAGACAAACTGTAAGCTGCGCGAGTCATTTGCCTTGAAGGTGCATTTCCGGGTGTGCTCGTTATTTGTGTCGATGGAAGTAATCATTGCCTTGGATACACCTCATGTCAGCGTTACCCCAGGATCAATGGAAGATTGCAAGCTGTTTAGGAAGAAATCAGTACAGTACGGCACGTTGATTTCGTCTGCATGAAGACACATGTCAATCTTCCCATTCGGCATCGTTGTGCGGCTATAGGAGAAGAACTCCCCGGGCACCCTATCTTTGCTGGACGGGCATCCTACCGAGTGTCAGCAGCCGTCACCATCTAACACATTGTTACCATAACTATTACCATTACTATCGCCTGACCGCCGTACACCTTTACTATTGTACGTCATTGCAAATTATCGTTATTTGTACCAGGTGCTTTAATTAAGAGTGGTTTTTAGATGTATCCCATAGTTAATTGCATTACCTCTAGCCGCCTCCGACACTTCTGAGTGACATAGCTGTAGCCATGTAGCGTTAATGCTCTCGGTGTTACTTTGCATTACCTTATTGGCCCTGGAAAGGCTTTTAGGTTGCTGGCAATGCTTCTATACCACTTGCGCGGTGTTAAAAAGTTAGGGTTGCAGTAGGTAATGGTGGTGGTAAGATGACTTAAAGGGTGTAACGGTATGACGATAGTACGGTACGAAGTCAGGTGGTGACGGCTGTACGCACTCGATAGGATGCCCGTCCAGCAAAGATAGGGTGCCCGGGGAGTTCTTCTCTTACATAGTACTTCCCACTCTGAGTCATGTATCACATCACCTGAGAAACACAGGAGCGGACACTGCTGCTTCTTGGAGCGTCCAGATCATTGATTCATTTTTCTCAATGCCATACATGCAAAGCATTACGACCAATGGCCGCGAGGAAATAGTAGTAGAGACCCAACCATGTACTCCGAATGCAGTCGTCTCCGAACCCATGTTCCCGACCACAATGACAGTTCGCCTGGCCTGGCGTGTTGCTGCTGTTGAGGAGGAAGGTCCGTAAATTGTCGTACCCTCTCCATACTCTTCCCCATGCGCCGTAGTGACCACCTACACCGCAACCGTTCGTGCTTATGCTAGTGTCGTCACCCCTTAAGCCTCCTCGCCCTCGCCTGCCAAAGCATTGCGCTTGGCCGTCTGCCTCTCGAGCTTGCGCTCGCGAGCGGCCTTGTTCTTCTGTCGCTTGGCGTCCATCTCGTCCTGGAGGGCACGCTCGCGGGCCTTCTCAGCCTTGGCACGGTGGATCTGTAAACATCGTTGTCAGTATGGCGACAAGGAGGGACGACGGGGTGAGCCAGTGGTGACATACGTGCTCGACAAGGGCGCGCTTGTGCTTGAAGGTGTTACCCTTGCTGGAGTGGTACAGCTCGTGGTAGAGGTGCTTGTCGATCTTGCCGGAGGCGCGGTACTTGACTAAGAGACGGCGGAGGACACGCTGGCGGCGCATCCACAGGACCTGCCTATAGACAGAAAACATGTCAATACCACATTCTTCGGACAGGTAATGTGATTGTAGTTGAAGCGGCAATAACGTACTCGGGCATACGGGCATCAGCGGTACCCTTTCTCTTACCGAAACCACGGTGGCGACCGTCGCGGCGAGCGAGGTTCAGCTCACGGGCGCGGGATCTGGAGTGCATGGTGACGGGTTTGCGGATGATGAGGCCATCGCTGACGAGCTTGCGGATGGTCTGGCGGGAGTTGGCGTTGGAGATCTCGGAGACCTCATTGGGGTCGAGCCAGATCTTTCTCTCACCGCATCCAATGACGGACGCGGCCAGGCGCTTCTGGGTGCGTAGGTTGACCCTGTGGTTGGGGAGAGATGTGTCAGCATGGCGGACTTGACAGTAATTCTAGGGTTGATTGATCATTGCAATTGTACATCGTCGGAATCGTGGCAGGCAGGAGTGAGAGGAGAGCTGGTCGAGATAGTCGTTGTATGCCGCTGCTGGTGGTGGTGGTTGTGGTTGTGTTGGATGAATTTTTTTTTGGTGTGGTTCTGTGCAAATCGATGACGGGTCCTGTTGAGTTCTCGAGTGTGCCACCACTGCCAGCCGTCTCCTCTTGTTGAAGTTTCGAACCTGCTCTCCTCTCCTCCCCCCGAAACCCAACTGGGAATGACAATTGACAATGATAGACAGATAGCAACGATGCAGTGCTCGATGCAGGTGCACTTACATCTTGATTGTTGATGCGCGGTGATGGCCGTCGAGTTGCTGTGAGGTTAGTAGAAGTGGTGGGCGTTGGGACGGTCGGAAGGGCGGCGAGGGTTTGAGAGTAAATTTGACAGCAGCCCCCTCCAGGTGACTTGACTCGGCGGGAACTGCAATTCTGCCACAGGGCCCAGTGCTGGAAGTGCACTGTATTTGCTGGAATTGCAGGTTGTGTGGACTGCTGGGTGGGGTACTGGCCCCGGTGAATCACCGGTTAAGCGAGTGAACGGCGGGAGGGGGTCATGTGACTCAGCTATTAGAACTTTGGCATCGAATCCAATGCTACAACTGCTTCGACCAGCAAGCAACGCTGTCCCCGCCAGGCTTTGTAACATGTACTGCCAGATTGCTTGATTCTTCCATCCAACAGGTTCGGTGGTGTAGTTGGTTATCACGTCAGTCTAACACACTGAAGGTCTCCGGTTCAAGTCCGGGCCGAATCAACCTTTTGCTTGTCAGGGCAGAGATGTCTGTTGTTTTGCCCTTCTCACTTCTTTCTTGTCCTTCCTATCTGAACTCTATCTGCTATCGATATTGTGGTTTCACACATGTTTTTGCCACTCGGTTGATATGTGGCCTTACCCCGCTGACTTGTAGCCCGGATCCGCTTCTCATACTATCTACCTAGCACAATACCACTCAGGGAATATAATGGGTGCTACCAAACTGATCTTTCAACAAATCATGTCCGAATTGGTGTAGTGGTTAACATTTCACGCTCTCACCATGTGATCCTTCATCCGAAGAACACAGTTGGAGCACCGTGGAGCCCGGGGTTCGATTCCCCGATTCGGAGTTCACTCTGATTTCTTTTGCCTTTCTTTGGTTTTTTGGCCACCCACCAGGTATTGCCCATCTATGGCCGGTCTTTCATTACTTTTTCTTTTTCCCCCTTCCGAAAAAACTTATCTCCTGATCAGTCCAGGTGTTTCCCATTGCAAGGCCCATCATCTAAGATAACAAGGTATAAAATCAACTACACCGTGAGTCCCTCCTATTGCTCGATCGTTCTATATTGTATTGCAGAGACAATCGAAACATTGTCCAGGATTCTCACTGCAAGCTCTTTGGTCTTCTCCATGACACCCCGTGATACGGCCACTTAGGGCCGCTGACATTGTGCAAGGAAATCGGACTTCGTAAGTTTGGTAGGCGTAGTGTCTATATTATGAATATGTCCAATCTGATGCGGTCGCCATCTATCATGCGTACTGAGAGCACAGTGTTCTTCCCGAGTCGAAGTTGGAACTGCTGACCAGTCTACTACAGCACCTCCCCGAAAATCAGAATCTCCTGCAATGGTCCCCTGTAGCAGCTGTCGGGCATTCACGCTATGTACTCACTGTTATCATTCCCTCGTTGATATTTTATTCCAGATCCAAAGTGTACAATTTCTGTACCCGATGCATTGACTCCTAGAAAATTGAAAGCACACTTGAGCTTGTCGCTATTCTACACTGCCAACTGACACTCAACATCGATGGCATAACTCACGCAGATACAACCGAGAAGGGAAACAAAACACTACGGAGGGAGTGTCCTCGAGTGCTCGCATAACGTGATGCTCTATTCCTAACGAGTACTCCGTTTCCGTAGGGTCCATTTCAATGCCAGGGCTCTGCCGGTGGGGCTTTGGAATGGGCGTCACCGGGCCCTGCCGTCGAACTGCGGTCTTCAAACATATTGAATCGACTGTGACGTGGCATAATTGCGACGGCTTTTCATATTGCCACCGAGAGCGATGGGGAGAAGATCAAGCAAAGCGAGCACCGCTGATTGATATTAAGTACACCCCCTGGAGGACTATCATCAGAACCACAATAGACCGGTTTATGTACGACTGCAAAGACTCAAGGGGAGCAGATTTCTCTCCCATTGAGAGACTATCTCGTGCGAGAGTCGCTCACATTTGCTGTTCATTCTCCGTTTAAGTCGCGATGATGACGAACACTCGTACAGTAGCTCCTCATTCTTCCACGTGACCGACTAGACGCACGTTGGACCTGATAGAACTGCGTCGGTACTCTCTGCCGATTTTGCACCTCTACCAACTGTTCTAACGCATTTTGGCTCACCTTCAAAATAGGCGATGAGATTCTCAAAGTTTCCAATGTTGACTTCATTCCCGTACAGTCACTCTGCCGGTTCAAACGATTTCGAGGCTACGCTCGTCAAGATCCATGTTATCCCTCCACCGCCTAAAGCATGCCTCTTCTAGGAACTATCCGAAAATTAGGTCCTACGTCTATGCAACCTATTATTCGAACATCTCTATTCTGCAGTGTGTGAATACAACAGAAGGTTCCCAGGACCCATCCTTCACTCCTCCTCGTAGACCATAACGACACATACCCGCCAATGTGTCTAAGGAATAAAGCAGGTCGGATGTATCCTACCTCAGCCCTTTTTTGAGAGCGAACATATATGAGGCTACTGGCGTCACAACTGAATCGAACAACGCCTACATTCAAGTTCTGAGATGTTCACCAGACGAGATGGTACACTCATGAAGAGCACGCTGATGGGCTCGACAGATCAGTGCCAACAGCCGAAGCCCATGCTCTTCCTATTCTGGAGGAAAATTCTCGACTCGTCCATCCCCGAGCTGCATGTAGGAAACCCTTGAGGCTCATAAATAGTGCGTTGTGTCGCTTCGCATAGCGGTAATTGCCAGCCGGCTCCTTTGACAGCGAGTAATAGCCACCATTTCCAGCTACCTAGAACGCCATTAGGGAGCGGACACAAGGGATACCAGTAACGAATTTTCTAGATGGCCGTGATGGTGATAAATTTCCGGATAATCATCGGTTTAAACACCAGTAGAGTTACTCATGCAAATTGTCGAATAATGCTCGCATGAACGTTAAGGTACGCGTTACCGACGGAGAAGTCTTCAATAAGTTGCGCTCATAGCGACATTATGTTGTCACGTTCTGTTTGGCTACGACTGCTAGTCTTTGAGTCAGTGAACTACTGCAAAAATCTCCGCATGAAAGTGCGGATGAATCTATTGTACTACAGTCCTCGCATATCTTACATGCTAATAGCAATCTTGCGTCTTTCCGGTTACTGGACGCTGGTTCCAACATTGAGTTTGTAGACTTATCACTTACATAAGCCCAATTGTGAGGCTACTCTCGATAGAGTTCCTTTAGATCAGATGAATTGATATCTTCAGCGGTCATCTGGAAAGGGCCGTTTGGAGGTCCGAGAGAAAGCTGGACCACGAGTGATCTAGCCCAGGGTATGTCCGTCTTCCTGCAGAGGCCGAAATACTTTTTAGAATCCAACAGCTTCTCGTAGTAAGAAAAATGGCGTCAGACGACGAATGCTCAGAACACATAGACACAACGGGGTCCTCATATCCTCGTCTCGAGATGCTAGCTGCGTTTCCGAAGAGTGCGCCGTCGACAGCCTACAAAAACTAACAGTTGCGGAATATAGCGCTCTATAGGGCTGCCCATTTGCGTGCCGTCTTCCTGAATCGAAATCCGTAGTGGTAGAAGTTTTCCCAAAGGGCACAGAGGCCTACCTTCTCCCTACGGCGTACTATTCCGTCGAAGAGATTGACAATGACAAAGACGACGATGAAGAGACTATGGATGACACCTCATCAAACGAGGAGTACATCAATCCCGCAGAGAACTCGCATCTCCGTGCTTCTGTCCGAGCAGGCCTTCAGCAGTTCCGCGCTGAAGACACCGAGACCCGAAGACTATCATGCCACAACAGCAACAGGAATACGCTCCCTTTTGTTCGACTTACTCTTTCTGCTGATGTGTTTCGTGGAAGTTGACGGTTGATCGGTGTGAATGAGCCTCTCCTCGCCTTTCTCGACTTTATATCGACTTGCACTTCCACCTCGCGTTGTTGATTTTCTCGGCCAACTTCAGCCGAAGTAAAGTCGATGTGATTGGGTCGCCTGATCACGAACAAACCTCCTTCTCGCTCTGAATGTAACCGGGCACCTTTCATGATCAAGGACGCATAAGCAGACTCCCGGTGAGTGAGGATGAATGAAGCGCTGAGCTAATTTTCGTAGAGGATAACAATGCTGCTACTATCACATGCGCGGCAATATATCGGTAGCCTTGGAATGTTATCAAATATTACTCATATTGGTTGCACAACATTTGTAATAAAATTAAATATCCTTGTATTTGTCTATAAGCAATAACGGTAAGAGTTACCGTCAATAGATCAATGTAGCTCGTGTTCATTGCCTACATGTAAGCAACTATCGCTGGAGGGGAGAATTCGGTACAGACACGATCAGGCGATAGTGGGTTAAGGTGATGAGATTCCGGATAAGCATTCGACTGAATACCTGTATAGATATCCCCCTTGTAAGGCGATCGCCGTGGGAATTACCTATTACCTATTCAGTATAGCTAGTTTGTGAACAAAGGAGCTCGTACGTGATACGATGTTGGGTTTGACTTCAACCGGTGGGGTATCAATTTCTCGCTGGAGCCGACACCAGTTGATGAATTGTTTCATATCTCACATTCATACTCACAATTCAAACAGAGACACATAACTGGTATCTTTCATCATTAGATCGTCTCATGTTTCTTTTGCTTTTCCTCTCTTTCCATCCTTAATCCCCTTCCTTCGACATATCGTTCACTACACTTCTCTACTCGGAGAAAACACCGTCCCCCATCTCCATAGCCCCGACGCTCCAAATCTCCTTCTCGTCCTCGACCTCATCACTCGTCAGACCCAGTCCGCCCGCACCACCCTCCGCGTCTCTCCTCTCTCTGGCCTGCGCACCAAGACGAATCGCAACTCTCTTGAAGTAATCCCCAATGCTCCTCTTCGTCATCGGAGGGAGTTCTGCACCAGGCCCAGCCATGTACCTATCAAACACCCCACTCTCTTCATCCACTACCCCAAAGAGTTCCACAAACGCAGCTTCTGCCGCTAACTTGACAGGAATAACGGGGTCGCGGACCGACGCGAAGACCGCAGGAGCCATTAGGGCTAGATGTGGCCGTACAAGCTCCATGTTCGCCCTCGAGGCTGTGCGGACTACTACTAGTGCGAGACGGCGAGAGTCCACGGGGTTGCCTGGCGAGATGATGGTGGCGAGGGTGCTGAAGATTGGTTTTGTTGCTTCGAAGGATTTTGCTGAGTCACTTAACAAATATTTACCCGTCGCTAGTATCGAGTTGTCTGCTACGAAGAGCTGTCCTGGGTATTAGTAACTGTAACAATGGTCATACGAACGCCGTGGTTGAATTCTCGATTTACTTACATTCTTATTCGACATGCCTTGACAAAGGAGGTTAGGCAGGTTCTCCGCAACTGGGCTATCGAATAGAGTCCCCGCCGACTCAACGAGAACGGCATTCAGCGCAAGAACAGATGATGTACTGAAGTGTGTAGGCGCAACGCGGTTTCTGATCAACCCGTGTGCGACCTCATCGGGCACGTTTTTGATAAGTGCACCAAGAAGCTTGGCGTTCGTGACAACCATCGTGCTGTCCTTCTCGTCCGTCTCCATGTCGATGAGGCCAAGCACAGCAGCTCGAGAGCCTTCGCCCATGTTTGCACCAGCTTTGCTGATGACTTCGTATAGAGCCTTTAACATAGCGGTCTTGACGCCGGGGTCTGTCGTCTTGGAACCCGTGACGAGCTCCGCGATCAGAGGGTCCACGCGAGGTGTGAACTTGATCAGTGTACCCAGAGCTTTGGCAGCTCTCGATCGGAGCACGTCACTCGTTGTGTCTGCCAAAGATCTGGCAAATGTTCGCTGTAACTGAGGTAAGAAGGGTTTGAGTGCAGTGGGCA